ACGACGGAGCGGATCATCTTAGATCACAGGCTTTCAATCTGACCATCATACAGTACTACATTCTTGACGTCATAGCTGCCATATTTGTGGGGTTTGTTGTTGCGATGTTCGCTCTTAAGTGGTCGATGTATTATGCCATTAAACAATGTAGAAGCTCGCCGATGAAACAGAAACAACATTAGTCAGGGGTAATCCCATTTTTTAGACTTTACCTGGTCACCTACATGGTCACATAAAGGGAAACATTCGGCAAATGTTGAGACGAAAATAGATATAAAGTTGTCCACTATTTTACATTGAACTTGGTACTCAACCTTCTTACACGACACCATTTCTGGTTCGGATTAAGCTTTTTAGTAGAGACAGGATGTCTCGTCTGTTCAGGTGACTATTTTGATTTTTTACATAGAGCCCAATATACTTTGATTAAATAGTAAAACATCAATTAAAGTTTAGAGAATCATGTTTTATGGACAAATTGTTTGATCTTTAAAGTACGTACTATCATACAGAAGTGTCTCAAATTCTTTCTGAGAATTCATTCGAGAACATTCTTTGTTGTTTATATCCTAGTTTTTTTTTTTTCATTTATACATTTGTTTATCATAACACCATATAATGATAGACAGTATAGTGGAGTTGATCGTCCTTCCTACTGTACTAATTGGGATGTAACAAAACAAATGCAGATCATAAGTAAAGCTATCTCTTGTAGAACGTGTGCGATTATATATTTATTTTTCACTTATTCTAATACAGGGTGTGACTCGGAATATATAACATTAGTCTGCTTTGCCTTATACCCCCCATCCCCCATACAATGATGTGGCCATCGGTAGCGGAAACACAATGCAAGAAATATCGTTTACTTTCAAGGGAAGTATGAAGTAAGCAGGGTCTAAGCGCATTCAGCGCACACGATATACAGGTAAGTTAGGGTAAAGCATGAACACGATAATTATGGGTCTTGAAGAGTTTTAACAGATTTTCCCAATGAAAGGACATCATTGCACTTGTATAAACTTGGATCCGATAAGAAGTTGACCTTAAGCGAAGACAGAGTAAAATGAACGAAACATAAAATATCTGAGACGCAGTTCAAAGTTGAATGACTCAAACCATGGACTATGGTATTACAGTGCAAACAGACACTAAAAACTACACGTTGTTATTATCGTCGTCCTGGATATACGTGCTCACACGCCTGTCTACTTTGCCAGCCATCTCCAGAAGCGTCGGGATTAAACTGAGTACCGGGCGCAGAGCAAGCAAATCGGGTGTAGGTGTACACTCTTTGGCTGATTGGTGAATGGCGATCTGTGCTATATCGCAATGTGGATCCAGCATCCTCTCCCATTCCGACAAGTGAGCTTCTACTTTAAGTCGGCACTTAGTCTGTAAGTCTGTTTCAACCTCTGGACGTATTTTGGACATATTTGCAAGCACGTTGTCACGAACATTGTCGTGGAGATGAGCCATATTGTTTATATTTTGTCTGAACAATTCTAAAGCCCGTTTCATGTTGCTCGTCTTTGATGAGCATATTTCAAAGTACTTGTCCACCATGAAGACAGACGACAATTTCTGCACCGATGTTGGTTTGATTCGTTTCAAGGCAGACACAAAGTTGGTCATGTTCATCTCGAATTTGTGGTACTCTGTGATAGTTTCGTTGAGCTGCACCTTGTACTTGTCGCTCTGTTTTCTTAGTTGCTCCATAACTTCCTTCTTCGGGCCTAAGAATACAAACAGGAGTTCTCGTATATAGAATCATGGAGGTAATAAGAATATTACCTCCATGATAGAATTAAGAAAGTTAAAATCAATGTAACCACTCAGGGGTTACGCCAAACATAGTTCGTCAATTGTGTTTACACAATACTGAATTCATGAAAGACATTCAACCCACACAGCGAGATTGTTTACTGTCTGTTGACGTTACTGTGGTAGTACGGTTAACTGCTGATATACCGTATTAGTGATATGTATACGGGGGTGGCACTCGGTTGAAAGATGAGTAGGCATTTTATAATGTTTGCGGAACCCTGCTTATCCGCATCATTCTAATAAAATTTCATTAAAATGACAGTTTGTGCCAAATAGATGAACATTCGCAGATTGAATCATTAATTAATTCTAGACTTGTTAAATGTATCCAGCATATTTTGATTTCATCTGGTGAACGCCCCCCGGTTAGGTCAAACTATATGTGTTTACATGACGGTGGATATACTGTCGATCGTTAAAGAGATTGTTGGCAAGCTACGGTTGTTAAAGAACAGACACAGAGGCACTTGAGTGAAACCGAATGGAGGTGATTTTTTACAGTTTTGCCCTGATACATACTCAGACATTTAACAAGGCCTTATTTGCGTGTTTATAAATTGTTGTAGCGTTCATATCAAACTCACCTCCATAGGACATTGGAATATTCAAACCAGCTGCGGCGGCAGCTAAAAGTTCCTCGCGACAAATGTGATACTCATCTTCGTCCATTTGTATCTGTATTGTGATGTCCTTGGCAATGACTTCCTTCAATAATGAATCTGTTACCAGGGTCTTTTGCATTAGTTTCAGTAGACGATCACAGTCTTGGTATCTTTCCCACAGGGTGTCCACAGCACTCAGAGTCCGACAGCTGACCACGAAAGTGGCACAGTCTTTACGTATTTTGATGACGTCATCGACAGAAAGTCCCGGATGTATTCCTGCGAATAGTAAACGTAAAAATTACGAGTAAGCAATCGTTGCTGTTGGCTTACCACTTACACCAACAAATCAATGTACGTAGTAATCGGCGTTAACACTCCTTTTTTGGTGTAAATATAGTCCCCAGTAGGGACATTACATGAGTGAAATAACGTGCAAGTGAGCCCTACTGGTGGGACGCCTAATGTTGTATGTCTCGGGCCCTTTTCCGAATAATAAATTCTAGAAATAAAAATAAAAATATCGCAGTCAAATAGTGTTACTGAAATTGCATGTTTTTATAAAACCTCGTTGAAAACAGCTAAGCAAAAATTTATTTTCGGCAAAACTCATGCGGAGGCACGTTTTGAAGATAAATGGCATTCTTCACATTTGTAAATTTCGCGTGAAATCCCCCCTCCTGCCCCAAAAACTGTATTCCTGTATACGACCAGAGGTACATTACTTGGGGTTTGTAACTACGGTGACATGATACCAAGATCCCGTCACAATCTCGCTCTCGTATAAATGTTCCAACTCAGAAAAAATGCGAATGCGCATGCCCGAGGTAACTAGGATACTGGGATGTCCAGGTGGATCAAAATAGCTGCCCACGATATGACGGATTACGAGAACTATATTTTCTGTACATTTTCGATGTATTACATTTTTCACTATGATAGTGACAAGAAAAGTTTATTTTTTTCATTACAAACCTTGAACATTGATATGCGTCATGTCAGAAGGTCGTAGCCTCAGTCTCGCTATCTACGAGAAGAGACTTGAATGGGATCTTGACATGATATCACCATACAGTACTATGCGAGTTGCAAACCCCAAGTAATGTACCTCTGATACGACCTATAAACCACGCGATGCATTGTCTTTTGCTGTACGTCACTATCGACTGTATCGAAATATATCACTCGAGAGAGAAACTCGTTATCCGCTCCCAACACCAACCCTTCTCTATGAACCGAAATAATTGACCGAAAATAAACCGAACCAACAAATGAAACTCGATTGGAAGCAAAATGTCCTTAATCACTGGTGGCTTGGAAGGAATTTTGACTATATATTAACGGATGTTTTGAGGTACGTGTTTGGGAATACTGATCATTGACCTCTCGGTGTATCATTTCCATTAGACCTTTTTATAAATGTAAGGGACGAATAAAATATGTGTTTGAAGAAGCAAATACATGTACTACATAAACATGTAATAGGTGATTTTCCGTACAATTGCGAGATCTCGCGAGATGCATGAAAGACGCGCGTCGAACGTCTGCCGCAAAAATCGAACGATTTGATTTTGAACTAGAATTTCTTTATTTCGTAGCTTACATTGACCGGCCGATCTTCGACAGAGGATTATTGCTTCCGAATACCCTTACTTAATCGAAATTGCCTATCATCAAATGTGGACAGCACATTATTAAGCATGGAAATGTCTCCGAAATACTTTCGCGTTTGTCGAATCCAACGCGATGTTTGACGGACTACGACGCTATGACCTTTGTTTGTCCTGTTTTTACGTTCGATTTCACGCATAACGCGTGATTCTCGCAGTGAACGGAAAATGGTCTATTGATCAGCGCTACGCGACTGGCTGCTTACCTTCCACGGCGTATCTCGTTGGTGCTGAAGTCTCCCTGTCGTTGAGCAGTTTACTCAGAAATGACGCAGTAACCTGCTCCTCCGACTGACGAGGGATGGGTGAAAACTCAACCGTATCGACAGTAACGTGAATTCTCATATCACCTGGAGAGAAGAGGAAAAAAAAATACATTATTCGATATATCAATTCTCAGATACACATAAAACACAACTGCGTTCATGAGCGATGCAATGTTACATTTAAGTTCCCTCCACGTCGCTTTAAAATTGTTTGGATTCATCCTTCTAATAAGATACATCGCTATGGCAACGGACAATGTAGTGTGTGTTGTCTCTTCATTTCCTGAATGTTATGAATCGTCGCAAACAGTGCGGCTTGTTTTGTGCAATTATGGACACGTCTTTTCGCATAGGCGACGGCAAGCTGCACGATGACATGACTGTAATTTCAAAATCGTCCAACTTGAAGTTGATTGAAATCACATGTTGCCTGGCTACGCACTTTAGTCTCAGACATTCGCATTTAATAATGTCCAATAAAACCGCGAAATCCTGACTTGTTATTCCGACATTCCTAATAATAGTAACTCAGGAAATGTAATTAGTGTTCAGATTCATCGCTGTTATTGGATTCGTCGTCATTAATAGCGAACTAAACAAAGTAGGGTCAACACGTAGAAATTGTATATTCCAATCTTCCAGTTGTCAACGGTTTTAATCTTTAAAATATTAATATGAATTATTTTTACCTCTAGGAAACATAAATAACGGAGGCCATTGTTTACGCTGCTTTCAACATAACACTGAACGAATTATTTTTCTCTGTTTGTTCTCATTCACCCGCCCCATATTGTCGTATTCACCTCTATAGAGTCGATTGTGATAGCCGATTATTACCATGCACGTATTATAATCGTCGTTATTCATATACTACACGGAGTGCCTGCCTTTAACGCCACATTCACGTCTTTGTTAGGCGCCAGCAGTACACATATTATAATACACACCGCATACTAGAACATTGAACACAACCGGTACTAGTATAACGAACGCATGATACATCGACTCAGTCATTGCACGATATGTTCATATAGTTCTCCACGCATTGATATTTGAGAAATAGGCAGTCACGCAGATCATGCCGTGTTTTCATAATCACCAATACGTTCAAATATCGAATTGACTGACAATGAACGGACTTATGGTAAACGTATTAGATAAAGTACGTGATACATGACGATAAGCTGTCTGGTTTTCCTTCGTTTAGTATTTAAACATGACGGTGATGGACATTTCGTAGTACAGACGTAAATTACAAGAATGCAAGTACGAAGCTAAATCACGAATTACGTAATAGACACGGACAGGTCATGTTAAATATACAAAATCGTCAATGATGTGGAAACATGCGAACTTACCTAATGACCTCTTAACAAATTCTTCGTCAAAATGCACTTTCTTTCTCGTTAAGTCGTCGAACTCGTCGTCTGAAAGACAACATAGGTCGAAATATTAGTATGATATATGATAGAGCTTGATGATGGATATATACACAAGAATATAGTGAATCAGACGCATGCGCAGTACTCTGAAACCGTATGTTGTCAATTTACAATAGACGTACAGTTTGGTCGTCACGTGTGAGAGCGATGATGATCAAGGCAGGGAATGTGAAGAAGGAGTGTTCATTTCATTCAGTACGGGGAGCCCCAATGCAATGAAATATTGTAATGATTGACATTATTCACGCCTCAACCTTTTTGAAATTTCTGGCTTGGTGATCTGAGGTTTCAGTTCAGACTACTAAAGTGTATTAGGTTCAAATTCACGTGGATTTACACGGCATAACTGGTTAAATTTGTTCTGTACAGTTCAATGTTTACAGAGATTACACTGGTGTTGTTTTATTAGTACTTTCTGTAAAGGCGGCCAACCTGCCCGGCAGCGCAAGTAATCTAAATAAAAATTCTACACGATGACCCCCGCGACTATTTAGTGTTACACCTGAGTAGAGATAGTGTTGATAATGATAACAACAAACTGGATTTTAAACAGTCCAATTACATATTACATTTCACATTTAAAACTGAACGCATTCACTCTAGTAATACGGATCAATTGAGAATATAATGAAAGACGGAATTGAGTTTACCTTGGATCTCAAGATTACTTTCCTCGCTCTCGTCCGCTTTCCAATATTTCCCGCGACGTTTATTTCCTTTCTTTCGCCGCTTAGACGAGCCGACCCCGCTCTGCACGCCACTGGCGGGGGTGCCAGCTGACGCAACAGCGCTGTATCGTTGACCTTTCCCGGACCTGCTTCGCCTTGCCGACGGTGACCGAGATGGGCTTCCCTTTCTTCTAGTGCCTGTAACAGATACCGGTAAAACAGAAATGCGAGAGTTTATTGAATGGCTGTTGCTAAACAGTTTGTAATCATAATACATCATGGTAGACGAAAGTGTATTGTAGTTCTGAAATGAACACGCCAGCATCAGTAATTATGTACATGTATACCATTGGACCAGCGAAACGTCTTACGCGAATGTCAAGTTCACGGAAACCGTTGTATTAAGTTGTTATGGTTGCGTAAATAGGGCTATGGGTTTATCTTCATTGTTATGTGCATGAAAAATCAATTATTTGGCATCAACATCTATATTAAGAAATATGGCACAGTATGTACACGGGGGTATAACATATACCTGAATCACTTCAAATAATTGAATTCTACGATATTTTCATGTTCGCGAAAATCGTGAAATCGAGAAATTCGAGACGATGGAATATTTAATTGATCTAAAGTATGCCAAGATATGCTTGGCTATCCGTATTTAAGTTATTGGCTCAAGTATAACACCGCCCCAACGCAACGTCGTAATCGTGAGTATTACTCACAACTTGTACGCCGGTTTCACTCCACTCTCATTCCATGGAATGAATCCATTACACTTTATTCATTCAATAATGATGGATGAGCCAGAGATGCGGCAGCTTTATTTACAACATGGTGAGATAAATTGTTCCATTGCACGTTTTAACATGGTGGGTTTTTACTAGTTGTGTTATCCCCGTTATTCACCCAGAAAAAAAGAGAGGTAAAACCCTTAAAATTTCATATTGCGGGAAAATCCCTGGAAACCTGTGCCAGAAAACAGTGCAGTACATAGTACAGAGAAAATGTCGGACTATGCTTTTATCAAATAAAGGCAAAAAGAAGTGAACTTTTAAATATTTGAGTTTAATTTAACTTGAACGTCTGCGAGCTGCTGAGTAACTGGTTAGACTACTGTTACATTGTCATTTTTCCGTGATTCTGTATAACTGTGTAACTCAAAAGCATTCCTCCGTACTTTCAATGTTGTGATCATGGACAGAACGAATCGGAAACACGGGTGAGATTTGAAGACAATTTTATCGGAATTCTTTCTTACCTGATTTCGATCGTTTCCTGCGTTTTGTCCTTGAACGAGTCAGACTGAGCTTCTTTACGTACGCTGTTAACAAAATAAAACATTGAGATTAACTGTCAATTTCACTCTCATATCCCAAGATGAGTAAGAATTCCAAATAATACATGTCATTCAGTTTTATTGAAACACTTAACATTCCTCAGAAGGCCCGGGAATTAAAATGGTTACACTCACATATTTAAAACATACAAATTTTACACAAATTACTATCTAAAGCACGACAATGGTTTTAAAAAAAACTACAATTAAAAAAACTGGTGATAATAATAATAATAATAATAATAATAATAAT